ATGGCATTCATTCTGTTCATAGTAGTATAAGATGAAGCAGCTGCCATATTTTGTTAATTGTGCTAAGACAGAATGATTTTGAAGAATAATACCATAAGAGTTTTCTTTTACATGAAGAATTTTTTTTCTTAAGGAATGGAATCAGTTACCGACGGAGATTATGGCCACATTTAGTGATCGATTTTTTATATTTTTCGTTTTTTCCTATAATATAATTTATCTTATAAGTCTATATCTTATAAGATATATATAAGTTATCCGGCTTCGTATATTAACAAAGACCCTATTCTAATTAAAATATTTAATGATCGAGCTTCTAAGCGTGCATTGTCGAAACATCTTTTTTCTTGAAGGAGCGTCTCTTTTCCTTAATTAAGCCATATATGTTTATGTTAAATATTTTTTACTTTTCTTTTGTTCGGTATGATCCAAACAAAGTTTGTTTTAAACCTTTATCATCACCAAGTCAGCTTTAAGATAAAATAAAATAAAATAAAATTACTACTAGAAGCAACCTGACATTGATTTAAAAATTTATCTACCTGATTATTATTTGTTAGGACCGATATACAGTAATTTGGGCACAGAATACCTGAAATAGATGATTATGATTTAGCTGCTGAATACTTAGAGAAAACTTCAGCAATTTTTATCAAAAATTATGGTGAAAATGATCCTGTTGTGGCTGCAACACACAATTTAGGTATACTCAATTTAGGTATACTCTACTCATGTAAAAATGATTATGAAATGGCAAGATGTGATGAAGAAAAATCACTAGAAATACGAGAGCTTCTATTACCAAAAGATCATCCTGATTTAGCTGAGTAGTATTACAATATTGTAAGGGTACACAATAGTTTAATCGAATATGATTTCGCTTTACCATATTTTGAAAAAGTATTAGATGTTAGATTAAAAACATTACCAGAAAATCATCCTATATCATGCAGGCGCGTAGTGACAAAAGATTTCGTCAATTATTTTGGCCTCTCTCTTCCTCAATGGTAAAAGAAGGAATGTTCACAAATGAAATGGCCTCGATGTCACTATATTTTCTTTCGTATTACACATAGAAGCATATACTAAGTCTTTTTTTAAGAACGTATTGAATGATGTATAACCATGAAAAGAGAAAGAAAGAAAGAAGCTAGACACTCGCGTTGGTTGCAATAGGAAATCATTTGATCTTATGGCAGAACTACCGCGATAAAACATGTATAGTCTACTTTTTTATTTATTATTTAATGAATTCCAATATTTGTACAGTGTCAACATACTTCAAGAAAAAACATTTTATTGAATCATTTTGTAAGGTGAAGAATTTCAATATAGATAATAAGAGATACACCACCTAAATTCATACCTTGTTCCACACGAACCTGTTTTAATTTTAACTTTTCCAACTGTCGAAATGTCTGTAAAACCATTTTATATATGTCACAAGACAAATTAAAACTCAGGACAATTTTAAACTGTCCCGGACACTTCGAAATTTTTTCTTTCTGTAGACGTGTTTAGGAACGACATGTTAAAATGCGTTTCAACGATCATTTTAACGCCGTTAGAAAACACGTTCAACAAAAACGCTAGAAAACGGTTAATTCAACGATCGTTAGCAAACGCGTTGTCAAAGAACGCGTTATTCTTAAGTTTTTAACGACAAAAAACTGGTTTAAACGGCCCTTTTAAGGATCGTTGGCTAACGCGAAAAAACGCGTTTTTCGCGCCATTTTTAACGAATTTTTTGTTGCCAGGGTCAGCACTATTACTTAGTGAGAGAAAGTAAGTTAACAATTAAAAAGATTTAGTTAATATATAGTAAATAATTTTAAGATTTTAAAGAGTACAACAATTAAAATCGACTTATTAATCGAGATATTAATGAAATATGTAGAAATTTGCTTAATGACGCTGGAAGAACTGGAATCAAAATTAAAGGTGGTATGACGACCGGTGCTGAATTAAAACTAAATGCTTAGATTTCATTTGAAACATATTGACGGAGAGCAATCGAATTTGATAATTCTACTTTTTCGATTTCGTTTAGTAGCGTTGTTTTTCATAGATGATATTTTTCAATCTACTATTTTTAGTAATAGTTGACGTTCTTTTACCTGTTAAATTTGCCTTTAATTCTGAAATGATACAATCGTGGACATGTTGGTAAAAAATAATATTTACCGTTAGACGATCTTTGGAATATTTTTTTTTAATGAGGAATTTATCACAGTATGCATAGTTCGCAGTTGAAAAACATAATATGCGAATACAGACTTATTTCCTGTGTGTATGGGATTTTCTGGGATTCTTGCAATTGCTCTAATAATTGCATCGACGAATTCTTAGAGCAATTACAAGAATCCCAGAATCTTATACACACAGAAAATAAGTCTAACATCTATGCAATTATTAGAGCAATTGGAAGAATCGTCCCATTTTCAATGATAATAGTAGCCCAATATTAGATAGTTATGTGGAGGTTATACCTAAGAGTCATTGCACGAGAAAAACGCCTGTTTGCCACAGAAGCATGCTCAATGAATTTTTCAAATTTGACTGTGACTAGTCTCATCTTGTAGAGCATATGCGGGAACCTATAAATCCAAATTTTC